CCTTGTCCTCTCCGAGTCAGGGGCGTGGCACTGACGTCGCGACTACGTTACGTTTGAGATGATTCACTGAGAATTACAGTGATTATTGTGTTATTTACTTCTATATTTTGTACGACATGTTCCCACAAAATTGCTTTCTCAATTGGATAATCTATCAAAGATATAGTCTAAAACTTCTTTTTGTTATTCACCACATATTCATACTTCGTCATCTGATATTCAACATTTCAAATCTCTAGCTCCTAGATTTATTAATAATATTATACATAATAAAATAAATATGTATTAGCTCTAGCACATCGGAATGTTAGCTTAAAATCAATTACTAAATTCGACCCGAACAGACATACACGAAAGAGAGTTAATAAAATAAAATAAAATAAAAACGTATTAAAATAAAACGAAATGAGGTCCATATACAACAATTTTACAAACAAGTTTTTTTATAAGATACTAAGCCTGACAAACGAGCACACAGTCCACCTGATGGTAAGTGGTTGGCTGTAACCCATAGACATCTATATCTATCCTCAATAAAGAATCAAAATGCAGATGTGTTGCCACCCGTGAGGACTAAGATGTAATACAATGCCTCTTCTTTAGTAAAAAGGGTCTCCGGTTCTCTACACTTACCATATGAAACACAGCAGTATTAAGCAGCTTTTACGCTGGTATGCTGTGAGAGCGTGGTCCTTCCCCGGTCGAGCCGCCCCATTCGTGCTACAACTATACTACTAATATAGCTGCAGCATGCCTCTACCACGTATAAAACACACAATAAGAACTCTTTGCAGAAAATATATACCGTTTAGGGTGACAAACAAGCACATGTTCAACCTGATGCTAGTTGGATAATGCGGCCTATGAAGGCATTCATACATGCTTCGATCATACTTATCAGTCCGTAAGTGTCCACTGCTGGACACAGTCTTCGTTTATGGTAGGAAAGCAAAGATGTTTTCCTATAAAACATCTTTGTAGGAAAGATTTGTCAGACTCGTCAAGCGTTTTTTATAGAATAAGTTGGTAAGTGGAAGCTGTGGCCTACTGACATCTACATTTATCCTCTAATAAGAATAAAAATGCGGATACGTTGTCACTCCTAATGACTAAGATTTAATGCCTCGATTGGAAACTCCAGTAAAAAGTGAAAAAATTTTTGGTTCTCGTCATCATCATACAGAAGCACCACTATCCTTGCATTATGTGGCTATATTACGTTGGTATTCTGTGAAAGCTCGGCTTTATCCGTCGGCATGTCCTATTTGTGCTGCAGTCTCACATCAGTTGCAGCGTGGCTATACCGCATTTTGTTTTACTTACATAACAACTTCGGTCATAAAGCCAAAGTCAAAGTCAAAACTGTTATTTAATTAAGAAAGAATAATTAAAAATTAAAAATTTTGTACAGCCGACTTCAATATAAGTTATTTAAGAATAACTTAAAAACTATTGGTCTGACCTTGATCAAATTCATATGGGACCACACGAGAAGTACCAGCTTTCAAATAAAAAAAAGAATCATCAAAATCGGTTCACTCAGAAAAAAGTTCTGAGGTAACACACATAAAAAAAAAACGAAAAAAAAAAAACATACAGTCGAATTGAGTACCGGCTCCTTTTTGGAAGTCGGCAGAAAATAAGAAAAGAACGTATTAGAGCCACGCTGCAGCTATATTATAATTGTAGCACGAGTGGGTCGGCTCCACCGGGAAAGGACCACGCTCTCACAAAATACCAGCGTAAATAGCAGTTTAATGCTGCTGTGTTTCGTATGATGAGTGTAGAGAACCCTCATCTTATCTCTATCTTAGTTCTCAAGGGTGACAACACATCTGCATTTTGATTCTTATTAAGGATAAATTTAGATGTCTATGGGCCCCAGCGTCCTCTTACTACCAGGTGGACTCGTTAGTTACTCTTATTCTATTAAAAAAAAAACATTATACAATATGTAACAAAAACCCTGTGGTTCCCGTTAAGTACGTTATCAGGATCAGTATTCAAACGTTTAGAAATAACTTTTTTTTTTAAAAACTCGAACTTTATATTTTTTTTATTTTATTTAAAAAAAATAATTGTATGCAAATTGTAATTTTTTTTTTTATAGGAGAGGGGGCACACGAGCATGCGGCTCACCTGATGGTAAGTGACTACCGCCGCCCATGAACAACCGCAACACCAGGGGAATTGCAGATGCGTTGCCGGCCTTTTAAAAAGGAGTAGGCTCTTTTCTTGAAGGTCCCTAAGTCGTATCGGTCCGGAAAAATCGCTGGTGGTAAACTATTCCACAAGGAAGTTGTGCGAGGAAGAAAACATCTTCTAAATCGCACAGTGGTGGACCGCCAATCATCCAGATGGTGTGGATGGTATCGGGAGTTCTGCCGCGATGTGCGTTCGTGAAATTTGGCGGCTGGGATTAATCCGAACAATTCCTCAGAGCACTCCCCATGGTAAATGCGAAAGAAAATGCTAAGAGATGCAACATCTCTTCGCAGTGCCAATGAGTCGAGCTGATCGGAAAGGACTTGGTCGTCGACGATTCGAGCCGCTCTGCGCTGGATGCGGTCAAGTGGAAGAAGCTGGCACTGGGGAGCCCCAGCCCAGAGATGGGAACAGTATTCCATGTGAGGCCGAACCTGCGCCTTGTAAAGTTGCAGGCGTTGAGCCGGCATGAAATACTGTCCCGCTCTGCTGAGCACGCCAAGCTTTTTAGAGGCCAATTTGGCCTTCGCTTCCAAGTGACCACGAAACAGCACGCTACTCGATATGTCGACGCCGAGGATTCCGATACTGGCTGAGGCATGGTTTTTATTACCTCTGCATTGTCTGGGGAGTACGAAGATTGTCAAAGACCCCGCTTTAATAAGCTTTAGCATCGTCTAGTGTCAGTAAGAGGTAATAAAACCACATAAAATAAAAAAAAATTTGGTCGAATTTTTAAAAAAAAGTTATTTCTATAGGTTTGAATACTGATCCCGATAACGTACTTGACGGAAACCACAGGGTTTTTGTTACATGTTGTATATAGACAAGGAAAGCTTACTGATAACAGTGGCCATTTTTGGATATAGGAAAACTGATATAATTTCAATGAACTACGAGTTATCCTTGCGAAATGACGCACGACCTCCTTACGTTAGAAGAAATCTAAAAATGTATCGCGAATTAATCATAGTTGCGACCAGTTGCGACACGGAATCTCTAGCTGCTGTGACTGCGGTCGCGTAGACGGTTTTATTCGTTGTCTATACACCGCTAACAGATGGCGCTTTAAGCACTTTTTTTGGTACGACAGTGATGCAAAGTATGCCTTGTCAAGGTCTTATCGACGTCAATGTCGTCGGCAAATCATAAAATCAGACTGGTCATATAACGGCAGATTATATTATGGCGCATTTCATGATATGCTGGGTGGTGAGGACTACCTCGTTGGTATAGTAAAGTACGTGAGGATATCAAGGTCATCCGGTTAATATGGTCACTTTCTTATAACTCAAAAACTACAGCATCATTTGCATAGATGGCTTTGTGATACGATAGCTCATCAGTCATTCAAATAATGAAGGGTCAAAAGGGCGCCGCTTTATCGACGTCATTTTGACAGTTGATATTATAGTAATGTAGAAATATATACATAGAGTAGACTGATCAAGAGCTATCGTATCACCGAGCGTTCTATGCAAACGACGCTGTAGTTTTTGAGTTATAAGAAAGTGACTGTATTAAACAGATGACCATATTACCCTCATATACTATAGTTAGTTTTTTTTTAAGTTGATTTTTCGAAGTGTTGCTAATTATTGCCAAGGCTTGTTTGTTATTTTTTTCTATATTAATTATAGTATACGACATTGTGTATTTGTCTCTGTCCTCCTCCTAGTTATGGTTCTATAGGGCGGCAAAGCTTAAGGTGACCATATTACCCTCACGTACGTTAATCGTAAACACGTTTGCTGATCATGAGGTCTCGGGTTTGAATCCTGGGTCAGATAGTGTAAGTGGTGCTTCACCCTAGTGCCTTAGAAAACATGTAAAGCCGTTGGTCCTGCACCTGAACTCTCACTGTTCGTGTCAGATTGCCGTCCCATCGGGCTGTGAGTGTGAGGGAATAGAGAATGTACCTATACGAGGGTGACACTGAAAGTTCTTAGAAAACCAAAAACTGAACAAACCAGCAAGTTATTAGTTTTATTATATCTTTTCAAATATTGTCCATTTACATCAATACATACTGCATCCGATGGAACCACTGAGAAAAGCACTTTGCCCACTCGTCCTTAGTAGGTACTCTTCGACGACATTTTGAAACGCAGCCACTGCTTCCTCGGCGTCCATAAAACGTTTTCCTCGAAGTTTATCTTTTATTTTCAGAAATAAATAAAAATCGCAAGGTGCGAGGTTGGGGCTATAGGGCGGGTGACCCAGTAATTACACGTCTGACGTCCCCAAGTAGTCGATAGATGGTTGGCGGTGAGCGACGAGGCGTTGTTGTAGTGAAAGAAGATCCTACTGCGAGGTCGTTTCTTCCGAACTTTTTCCAAGACAAGTGGCAAACAATTGTTAGTGTACCAGTCTGCCGTAACTGTTTTTCGACCCTTTAAAACAATTGTTGCGTAATGACCTGTCCTTCTGAAGAACGAGGCCACCATCTTTTTTCCCAAGACTCGACCTCTCTTCACTTTAGTTGGCAACTCCTCGGAAGGAAACACCCAGACAGCAGGCTGTCTCTTAGTTTCAGGATCATAATATATTTACGGGTGACGAAAGCTGTCAATATAAAATATCATTTACGTAAAAATACATTTAATTAATAGTAGAATAATTATTTTTAATTTCAAATTATTTTTTTTAAGTCCTCCAAATTATGTATTATATTTACTTTTTTCACAAACGTCAAATATTATTATGCCTACGATTATGACACGTTAGAAATGTCTTTCTGACACTTTTGGATAAATTTTGAAATTTTTTTAATAATCCATTTATAAAGTTCATTTATGGTTAAGAAATATGAGACCGACGGCACTCAGACAAGCAACATCAAGGCGGACGTTATCGTGCTGGGTTGCAGCCTGCCCGGTATCATAGCAGCGCACAAGTTGAAGCAAAAGTTCGGAGACACCATGGACATCGTTATTATAGATCTCCCCGGCACTACTAAGGGCATGTCGAAGTGTGACATCGTATCTTTCCACAAAGATGAAGACAACACTCCCGAGGAGTGTACAGTCGAATCAACTCAGCAGTTTTTCGAACATTTTTCCCGACGCTACCTTGTTATGTATGCGAAGGAATTCAACATTACGATCCCCGATGAAATTTTAACACCAGACAGTATCTCGTCACCGTTAAACAAGCTTTTCGAGTATACGAATGGAAACACCGTTCAGTGCACAAACAATTTCCACGATTTCGATTACTTGGGCGTCTTTGAAAAATTCGAACTGAATCAATATCAAAGGCTGATTGATGAGAGTATGAAGAATTTATTCCGCGTCACGAAACCCGTAACGGAATCCGAACGACAGAAGCTCCTGTATTACGATCAGACGACTATGGAGAAACACATCTGCGGCGCCTTACTCTTTTCAACGTCACGAGAAATTATGAGAACCGTAGTCAGATTAGTATGCGGAGCATCTCCAGATACCGTGTCGGTTCTGTTCTATCTTCATCAGTGTTACAGAAACAACACATGCAAGAACCACGTGGACGGCAACAACACGAAGTTTCGAGAGAAACTTCTAGGCTACTGTCGGAAACGCCTCGCCTATAAATTGAAACGGAGCGTGGCTGATATCACGCTGCAAGCAAAATCAATAAAGGAGATACGGACGTATTCAGATGAGCAGGTTATTTTAGAGACGATGAAAGGGGAGAACAATTACGTTTGTAACCTCCTCGCGATGGCCGTGAGACCTGACGAACTAAGTAACATCAACGTGGAGCCTATATTGTTGTCGGAAAGAGAAGCTGAGATCGCAAAGTTAATGCTGCCTGGTCGAGTTAAAAAGTTCATGATTCAATACGAAACTGACTTTTGGAGGGATGAGGGTTATAGCGGTGATATTCTGAGCATTAGAGGGCCGATCGTTTGGGCGATGGAACGTCCAACATTGTCTGGAACGGGAAGCAGGGAGCGGTATTCGTCTTTGGTAGGTTATTTAAAAGCCCAAATGTGCGACGGTGACAAGCAAGATTCAAAACAAGAAGTTATAGAACAGCTAATGAAATTATTTGGGGAATCTGCAGCAAATCCAGTTAATTACAAGGAGAGTGATATCGAAGACGTGTTTATTCCAAAATGTGGCGACTACATTGCCTTGAGAAAATGGACGAAGGAACAGACTCCCGGATTACTGGAATGGGGAGCTTTGGATGTCTACCGCGATGGAGATATCACAGGAGCGATAGAAGCAGGTCATAAAGCATACCTCCATGTTTCAAGCTGCCTACGTCCTCAAGCGCAGACTTTTGAAGATGTTAGTGCGGCAGAGATTCCTATAAGCGTACACGGTAACTTTTGTAATAGAGCATTGGCAAATATAAACATTATAAGAAGTATGTCCCTCATGGCGTATACTACCGCTGTCTATATAGGCATACGTCTTGCAAAATCCTATCTCAGAAAACAATAGACACGCCCGCACAGCAAATTCATCTAAAAAGTGTCAGGGAGATATGACTTTTTACTTATTTTATACAAGTATAAAATTAAAAACCTAACAAGTCATTTTTATTCCTCGTTTCCAGCAAAATGGGTCTCTGGTTCTACACTCACCACACAAAACACAGCAGTATTAAGCTGCTATTTTATGCTGGTTTTCGCATCTATATTTAATTGTTTTGATATATTTAAACTTTAGAATTTAGCTTGTCCACAATGTATGTCGTGATAACCTGTAATTTAATCTAAGAATTTCGTAACATGACATAAAATGTATATCTTGCCTCCTATCCTAAATGAAATAAAATGATGGCAATCTATGCGGAACCCTACTTTAAATTTTTTAATAGCTACGTACTTGGATAACATATCTTGGCTCCTATTTTACTATAGAATAAGGGTGACAAATGAGCACATAGTCCACCTGATGTTAAATGGATGCTGTGGCCATTAGACATCGACATTTATCCTCGATTAAGAATCAAAATGCAGATGCGTTGTCACCCGTGAGAACTGAGATGAAATGCCTCGTTTCCAGTAAAAATGGTCTCCGGTTCTCTACACTCACCATATGAAACACAGCAGCATTAAGCTGCTATTTTACGCTGGTATTCTGCGAGAGCGTGGTCCTAACCCGGTCGAGCCCACCCATTTATGCTGCAACAAAAATATCTAAAATAGATTCGCTCTTTTAAGAAAAACATGCTGCTTTTTAGTGAGCTTTTAGGTAGGCGTAGGTGTTGCTAAACGATTTCTAGGTAGAAAAGAACGAACTTTTAGAAAAGTTAGTGCGTCAAATTTGATAATATTATGATTATCAAAGCCAAAATCTAATCTTCCAAATCCAGTCCTCTTAAAGAGGAAATCCTTATCATCCATTATCCATTTTATAAATAATAAAAAAAGCTTTATATCGCATATTCGATTTATTTTCGACCAATTTATCATGAATGTGAGTATTGATAATATTAAGAAGAGTGTTACACAATTATTTCGGACATTTTCCTGATCCAGTCATATAATACATATTCATGTAACGTGATTTACCTGGTCATCGAGTAGTACATGTCTTAATGAAGGGCTCTTTTATTCAAAGTGTAGTTCGACCTTTGGCTAGACAGCCTTTAGTTGAATGGTTGGACAGTCCGAAGGTCAAATGGTAGCTTGTAGCAAATGGGGTCAAGTTCCGTTGATTTGTCAACTCATGAAGCGTGGAAATAATTAAATTATTTAAACTACGTAGTAATTTATAAGTATAAATTCATTTAAGCATTAAAATTTATATTTCTAACTCTCCGTCATTAGCACTTAATCAATCTATTATTGCCCTATATAGTCTTCAACCAATTAGAAGAATCAATTTTATATTTTAGTGTTTTTCTGTTTGAATAATAAAATGGAAAGGCTTAAAAAAAGCTAAAACTAAAAAGAATAATTTTGATATAATTCGCTTCTGAAGTCGATGCTAAGATAAGTTACTAATATGTCGAAATTATTTAAGTATTTTTAGTTTTTAAAAACGGTTTTTCCTTTTTATTAACACTTTATTTTTTACACTCTTAAGTGAATCAAGAAATCAAAAGCATAAGGTAACAACTGTAATGTCCTATAATATAGTTAGATAATGGTTAGATAACTTTTTCTAATTTTAGAGGTTGAATTTTTTCTTAAAAATTATATGGCACTACCTTTGAGCTATAGCTTATCTAATTTGAAAAAATTGTCTCATAATTAAATTAAAAAGAATTCATACTAACCACCACCAAGCACTAATTTGGAAATAAGTTAATGTGATTCAAAATTCAAAAGCTTAAACGCCTTCAGAAAAATAATAGCAAAAATTTTACCCGTAAAATTGATTCTTGCCATTTATGTTTTACACTACGTCGTATTCTGAAATTTTAAATACTTTAGAGTTTACCCAAATTTAACCTAAATACACTTTCAATTTAATAACAGTGGGTTAGGGAAAAATTTAGATGGTAAGGCTAAATTGGCTTTTAAAAGCCTTTAAAAACGACGAGACAGTATCTCACGCCGGCACTCAGCTTGCAACTTTACAAGGCGCATTTTTAGGCAGTTTTACAGGCTCTGAACACTAATGCCATGAACTCTGGGCTTATCTATAAATACTTCCAACACCTAAATAAGGTAGAGGAAGTTATTAAAATTACATTTAATTGATAAAAGGCCACAGTGGTTCTAAAGGCAACGATGCTGCAGATGATCTAGCCCGCGGTGACTCATCACTCAGTGCACGTGGACCAGTACCAATAATACCACTTTTGTTGAGTTTGTCAGATCTCAGGTGCGATGCTACATCAACTCACTAAGTACCTACAATCGTAATTGTGGATTAACCATATGAAATTAGCTAGGGAAGCATTACCTATCGTCAGTAGCCGCATGTCCAAAACACTACTTCGTTTAAACAAATCTTTAAATTCGAGCTATTAGAAGCACTATAATTAGACGCAGGTCTTTTAATAAACATCTTTTTGCTATATGTTGTGCCACGGACTCTTTGCAGAGCCTACTTGGGTGCTCTGCGGTAGCTAGCTCCAGGAATAAATGCTTGCCGGGGTCAATCCCCGAGATCTTAATAAACATGTTAGGATGGGTGGAATAGCATGTATTAGTCGTGTTAAATAAATTGCGTATATATAAGCAAACTATGCTTATGTACACTGTATGAATAATACTAAACCTAACTCCTGCCTTTACATGTCCATCTTTTATCTACACTCCGGTGGCCAATTCTCCTATACAATATGGCTAAAATTTAAGGCTATTTTTTAATTGTAATGCTAACCTTGACACCATTTTCTTTCTAAAAGTTAAATGAATATTTAAAACCTTCTAATATGAAGCGCTTCCACTTTAAAAAAAATATTTCGTCCTTTCTAAATCGATGGTTCGTGTAAAGTGTAAACTTTTCCCGCGGTTGGAGTAAAACTTACAAAATATTGATATGTACTTCAATCATGTATTTATTTTAATTGATATATGTAATGTTTTGTTTATTTAATAATTTGTCAATCGACCTGTCAAGCACGACTACTATGGCAAATATCCCCCTTATGAGAGAATCTATGGGTGGCCTCCCTAGATATATAGATCTGTTCACTGTTCAGTAATAAACTTTATAGGTAAGCTGTATTATGAAAAGAGAAAAGAAATAAATTTAACTATAATAATGCAATCGTCCCGTGGGTGTCTCAAGAGGCGACAAAGGGAAACAAACCAGGAGATGGTCAGCAGCGTCTTCTTGATATAAAATTAAAAATTATAAAAAACTGCAGTAGCCAACCCACGTGAGAAGCATGGCAACTATGGCAAAATCGGGAGGATTTTGTTATAAATATTATAAGACAATCTATCGGGGAGGCCTTTATTCAGCAGTGGACTTATACAGGTTATAATGGTAATACATTGTCTAAAAATGGTATGGTGGTTGTCAACGTAGTAATAATATAATTATATCCTTTGCTCACGACGGTGGTGACCTCTCGCTAGAGAGTAGTATGTTCCTTGGTGGTGACCGTGTAGTGGCGGTGTAAGAATATCCACCTACCTCATATCGTCCCGTGAATGTCTCAAGAGGCGACATAGGAAAATGAACCTTAAGACATGTCTTAAGGCAGCGTGTTTTTAATAACAACTAAAAATTAAATAACTCAAATCGCCTGCCAAGCGTGGCAACTATGACATACAGCCCCACTGTGTGGTAGTCTATGGAGGAGGCGTGTATTCGGCAGTGGGTTTGTGATAGGATGTTACGGTAACAGTACGACACTCACGAAAGTCACTGCATTTATACTTAAGCTAGCTGTTCCCCGCGACTTCATAATTTAAGTAATTTAGGTTTTTAATTTTCTTGCGTGGAACCCTAATTCCTTTTCTAAAACAAAAGTAGCCTAAGTTACTCCTTATAACATGAGCTATCTGCCAGTGATAGTCCCGTCGAAATCGGCCCAGCTGTTTCGAAGATTAGCCGGAACAAACAGACAGACAGACAAAACATTTATAAATTCTGTTTTTGTTATAAGTACCATATATAATTTCATATGCATTTAGTGAAGAGCTGTTATTTTTACGTTACAAACAGACACTCTAATTTTATTTATTTGTATAGATGCGGAAAACCGACTATAGATTTTACTGAGCGTTATTTCCGTTCGAAAAAAGATCTTTTTACTAAAAAAAAATACTTTTAATATAATTAACGCGATGAGGAAGAGGAAGATTATTGTTTTCTATTACACTTCATTGGACGCCGATTGTGGCAACGCAACGCCGCGACGTCTAAAAACAGAGAAGCCTCGATTTGTTGTCATCCGTATAATATAATGTTTTATGATAAAAAGTAAGGCAATTTGTCAGCCTTTGGCATTGCAAAGGCAGTTCAGTTTGGTTCAGTATAGTTTTTTTTTCATTGTTTTAAATTTAGAATAGAAAATTATTTCAATTAAACACCAATTTGTGTTGAATTTTTAAATGTAACTCATTTTCGCTTGGCAAAAGCACATGAATAAAGAAACTAGATTTTATTACTCATGTGGCAAAAGTGTAAAATTGAAATTATTACATGTTAATTGAGGGCATTTGTGCCTAATTTCAACCGTGCAGTCATATATTAGTATAATATATTTAATTTAAACGTTCAGTATTCAGCCGTTTATAATTTAGTAACATACATAAAAACGTTGATTTATTTTATATTTATTTCCTTATTAGATGTATATGTAACGTAATATTATATAATTATAAATAATAAAAAAAACTTAATATATATTTTTTTATATATAAAAGGTACTTTTTTTTAAAGTGAAATGACAAACGACATACAGTCTAGTTCATGGTAAGTCTACCGCAGCTCATAGACAACTGCAACCTAAACAAAGAAGGCTACAGATGCCTGTAATTTATACTGAATCTCTATACCCTTTGGTAGGAAACACAGGATACACA